ATGTATATGTATATGTATATGTATATGTATACACATACATACATATGTATACACATACATACATATGTATACACATACATATATATGTATACACATACATACATATGTATATACATACATACACACACATATATATACATATACATACATACATACATACATACATACAATCACATAAATAGCAACAGAATTCCTAACTTATCTATGTTATTATTTAACTTTTAACATTATTCTTGGTATTACATGAACTTTACCCTGAATTGAGGACTTGAGTGAAAATCCAAAAGATGAGATTTAATATAGCAATTGAATTTAAAAAAACCTATAACAAGATTAAGTGCTACATAGCTCAGAGGAAACCTTCTTCATTTTTAGTATAGTCCCTGATTTAGCTGGCAGCTTATTGTTTTTCTTGAGATCTGCACAGAAACACACACAGTAGTAAAATCCTTACTTCCATTGCTCCTAGAAGATTAGCACTCTCTCCAATACTTTCTTCTATGTATCTGCGCTCCTCATCTGTAATTGTAGGATGCGTTGCAGGGCTCTCATATGACACCAAAAACCAAAACATATACCAGACAATACCAAAACTTCCTGTTGGACATAATAAGATGACAAATTGAAATGGGATTGAAATGGAAACCTCCTACACAAGAAGCAAATATTGGCTTTTTAAAAAATCACCTGCTTGAAGTTACCTTTTTATCTAAACAGACACTCTTTAAATACTCTCTAAATTTACAAATATGGTTTAATTCTATTTCAAATGTATTTAAACCCCAAGGGACTAAGAAAGTATGCAATCCCCAGTGATCCTACTACTCTGCTAGAATCACGTATGGGGTACAGTTGCCAAATCTGATGTAACCCTATAAAAGCAGGGATGTAAATTCTTCCTGATCACACCTTCTCCCACCCCCCAAAAACCACCCTCTTCTTCTGTTAAGTTAAGCAAATGTGTCATATGTTCATTTCTTTACCATCACTTCCCAACATAAGCTGAATAGTTTTAGGCCTTTTTAGAAGATTCCATGAAATGTAATTGGTTCAAGCCACAGCAGCCCAGCTGAACAATACCACCTTAAAAAACTGAATAAAAATTCGTATCCAATTTGATGGATTCCTTGCACAAAATGAAAAAGAATGCATAGAATAAAGGACAATGGGATGAGCGCTATCTTTCAGGTCTTATCTATTTTGGCCTGACACTTGAATCTTATAGTGGAAATGGAGAAGAATCATAACTGTAGCAGAACCACGGGAGAAAAAGAAAATCAATCTGATCCTTGACATATCATCTACATATGGAAGGAATTAGTTGTGGAGCATTTTTTCATCTCTAGTTTCCTTCTTCAAATCCACATGTTTCATATAATTGCCCCTCTTAAAACAATGTTAATTTAAAAATGGTCAAAACTTTGCAAAATGCTAACATCTCTGAAAACACTTGGAAAATTACTGGAAATATCTCTCCAGAGAACTTAGGAAATATTGCATGAATGAAATTTGAGACATTTGGGAGGGAATGTTCAATTATCATATAACATTTTATGCCTTCCAAAGATGAATTATTCTTTATCCGGAGTTAACTCGAATTTGTAATAGTTACTGACTATAGAAGAAATGTCCTACCTATGATTTTTTTCCCTAAATGCAATTACTATCACAATTTTTCAGTTAAAAACCCACTTGATAGAAAACAGAAAAAGGACATTACAGAAAGGTCTTTTCTGCTCCCCTACAGTTTGTTACTGAGAATTTTCTATGCCTTTTACAATAATTAATTTCATTTCCATAAAAATTATTCTAACTGAAGATCAGGTTCGTGGATGGCAATTCAACCTGCCCTGCTTTACACTGAATTAAGCACAACATGATTGAGTCACTGTCCTCATTTAGGCCAAATTTGACATTCTGAATAATTCCACTGTTTGGGGAATTGTATTTCTAGGCAATCTAATTTGTTCATTTTGAATGTTCTTTCTGTCTAAATTCCCCCAGAGCTTTTCTCCTCTTGATTCTACTATATTTATATATAGTATTAGAACACAGCCATATTCTGAGTCATAATCTGGGATCCCAAAATTGGTTTTGAGCTGTCAAGCCCATGACCTCCACACACACTTTCCAGTTTGTTCCAGGGAAAAATCAGAGCAGCATTGAGGATGATGGACCCATAAGCAAGGAGTTACCAAAAATCACCTTTCCTTGTTTCCCTGAATTTCAGAAAATTATTGGGTAGAGTGACATGGTTGGATACAATCCTGAATGGATGCTTTATCCTTCCTCTAAGACTGCTAGATTATATTTATGGTTCTAACTTTTCCCCATTTCTTTTCTAAAGCAAGATGAGAAGAGAATATCATACCATACACGTAGAACACAGAAGACCATCCTGTATATTGCACTAAAATCCCAGCCAATGGCATTGCAATGACTGCACCTGCATAGGATCCTAGACAACAACATCAATAATAATAATAATAATAATAATAATAATAATAATAATAATAATAACAACAACAACAAGTAAATTATAAACATCTGTTGAAATGACATCAAGTCTGAAATTTAATTCCCATTGGCATCTTGGGCATCTGCAGGGGGTAGTGGCATTTCACATCTCATAATATCATTATGCCAAGCCATGAATTATGTGATGGGAACTTCTTTGTGATGCCTATTGGGTGCCTTTGAAAGACATTTTTTCTAGTTTCTAAGAAAACTGTTCACTAATATCTTCTGGTTAAAATGACCATATGAATTATTTAAGTCATTCTTTCCTAATCAGTTTTCTTTAAGAAGTTGTACAAGAATTTGAAAATAGATGAAATAACCTCTACAAATAATCTCACAATCTTATTTTAATTTTACCAGATGATTAGTTCATATAACCATCCTATAAATCCAGAAAAAAGTGTACACAATAAACAATAGCCTGGCATACAATTATTTTGGATCCACCTGTCTTTATTTATTGAGCTGGAAAGTTGATGTAGTATTTTAATTATTACTGTTGTTATCAGCCTGAAACCCATCCATTGCTGAATGAAGGTCTCTTGACTGAAGCTGATAGACCATAAACTAACATGGCTGCCCAGTGTAAATTGATAAATAAATATTTTTTTCCATTTCCCAATCTAGGGCTGGGAGCAATGGCCTCAAAACACTCAGTTGTCTCTATGACTAAAGGAAGAATATAATCTGCATCTTTCTGCACTTAGCTACATTCCACACTATCTTCAATGTATTAATATTGTGATTTATATGTTATGCTTAGATCCTTTAATTTAATCTCACAGCTACAATGGCTTAACTTAATGTCATTTCCAGACCTGTAAATTTATACACAAAAATGGGGTAAACACATTATTCTTCCACAATTATTAATGCAGACTGATAAATCCAAAATGTGCTTGCCTGAATAAGATGTCTAACATTCAGGAATAAGTTTTCAAGTTCTTAACTTTTGTTCACACAAACAGTCTACTCTAAATTGTTCTCTGTGAAAACAAAACTTACTCTAATCAGTGTGTCTGAATATTGATGATGAGCTGCAGAAAGTTTATTTCAGTGTATGTTAGAAAAAGGAGAATACTAAACAAGTGAAATAATGGAGATGTCACTTACCACAGAAAGATGTGGTTACTAGTCTACTTCTCTCTAAAGGAGGAGCCCACTTGCTCCATATTCCATGGCAAGCTGGATAAGTTACACCCTGTAAAGAAGGTTACTTGCTTTACAGTTGCTTCAACTGACATACAAATAAAAGGATAAAACAAAAGGGGGGGATGTGTTTATTGATTATTTCTTTATTTAACTTCTACACCACCCATCTCGCCAAGGTGACTCTTAAGTGGCTTACAATCATTCAATAAAAAACATTCAATAAAACTTTAAAATAATAAAGACCATAAATGTAAAATTCAGTTAATATTCAGTTGACCAAGATGGAAAAGGGAGCAAAGTGTGAATGGGGAGCAGGTGAGGTCTGTCTAATCTATTAACCACCCCTTGAAGACTCAGATCTTCAAGCTGTTTTTCAAGGACCAAAGGGTGAGTGCAGAAACGATAAGGCATAACATCTGAGAATATTTGTAGGTAGGTCATACACTGAAAAAGATGGAAGAATGAGGAATGTTGATTATGTGTGACATCCTGGAAATGTATTCATCCTTTTTCAGTGATTTTTCCGGAACTTGAGTCAATGCACTTTGGGAGTTTTTTCTCTTCTAATTCATTAATTTTATGTATTTCTCTGCCAACTGTTCAATGGTGGGTTGCAGGCGGTACGCCCTAGTATGGGCATACCGGATCCTGCCTGGAGCATCGAATATTGTTCCAGTATGGTGCTCTGGATGGCCCACCTGCCTTCCCGCGCTCCTTACTGGTGCTTTATGCTGTTGGCGCTTCCGCGCACATACATGTTGCGTACGGCACCTGCGTGACCCTCCATGGAGCAGCTGGAGCATCGCGGAGGCTTGTGGAAGTGACATTTGATGCTAGAACACATGCGCGCATCGTGTGTGTGTGTGCGTGTGCACCACACACGTGTATGTGGGTAACTCTGGGGCCGTTCCAACCATACCGGTTGGAACGGATTCTGGAACCCACCACTGCAACTGTTATAATAACATGTTTAACTTTGATTACTCTTTTTATCTTCTTAATTAGTCAAGTGGATAAGGACAGTCAAACAAAAACAATGTACAAAATTAGATTATGAATGGTGATGGTGATGTGCAAGATGTTCCTCTTCTCTCTTCATTTCTTTACACTGGGAAGAAAGAAGAAGAGAGCAAAAACAGGAAGAGA